GGGGGGGGGGGGGGGGGGGGGGGGTATCACTGAAAAAAAACTAATTTTTGCGGGAATTGTCATTTATTTTATTTATTGAATTTATTTTACATTGGTTACGGGATTGCCCGATCAGACGAAATTCAATACTCTATATATACGTGAGTCCAATCGCGTACCACAGCGGTTCCGGGGGCTTCTTAATCCAGCACTGTTCATTTCCCACCCTGTGTTGTTCAAACTATTAACAACTTGCTGCAGCTGAGCCAAACCATCAAGCTGGAGGTTGCCAGATTTTTATATCGCAGAGAGTCATGATAATTTTTAGGGTGGGATTTGACTCACGTAGACCATTGAGTTTTCATGAGCAGAAGGTTTGAATTCACGCTTCAAGAAACATTAAATATATTAGTTAGAAGTAGATTTCAGTAATTTTCGTCTCGCAAAAAGTGCTCTACGTAAAATTTTGGTTAAGAATTATGTATCAGAATGCTTAACTTTGTACCTTCTCTAGTGGTCTATTGTGAGTTGAACTTTCAACCCAAACTCTCGAAAGTACGGGAAATGTTTAGCATCGCAATCTGAAAATTGACTTCTCACCCCTGCTCAGTTTTTTCCTTTATCTGAACAGTTTAAGTTTCCACTTAAAGAGCCCTTCCGCCTCTATTACATTCACGATAGTTATTTCCAAATCTCGACATTGCTTGTTTTAGTCAAAATTATTTGTACGACTCATAACGGGGCACGTCAAACCATTGGTATCGTTTTGGAGATGTCCTGTCGTATTCGTACTCAGAACATCGCTTCGAGCCGCCCCTAAAACATACAATGTAACGTTCGAAAATTAAATGAGATGTAATGCCTATAAAAGAAAAATAAGCTGTTATTTTTTGGTTTTACGAAAATCGTATTTTTTTTTTTTTTTATTTTTTTTTCCAGGGATATAATAGTATAATACTTACGTTAAAATAAGCTGTACTGTAGAATGCCTCAACCCAAGGTTTTTATACATCAACTGTAACTGAACGGTCTATTTTCCAAGTCACGTAAGCGCCAATCTCTATTATGGTGGTAGAAGACAGTGGCGTGGCGTGCTTTGCGATATATCGATTGATCTGCCATTTAAACCTATGGCAAAGAATCGATAATCAGGGTGTTCGCAACAAACACCTTTATAGTCGATTATTTACTACAGCTTCAAATGTGGGAATATCGACAGTTCGCAAAGCACGCCACGTCTCTGGTAGCAAGGTGGTTTTTTCTGATATAATCAATCATGTCTGATTTCAAAATAGCTTTCTAAAAGAGCATACATTTTGTGAAATTCCAAGATTGTCATCAAAGCGAATAAAACTGGTTTGCTTGTTTTTCTCGCATTCGCAATTTTGGCGTTTACGTAATTTGGAAAATAACCGGTTCAATTGAAAACTGTTATAAGCATTTCTCTTGGACTATACTCTTCGATTATTATCAGATTAAAAAAAAAGTAAAAACCAAACAGAAACAAACAAAAAACCAAACAAATCCCGCAAAAATGCAGACTCCGACAAGACGTTGAAATGATAATGAAGATTTAAAATATATCAAATTCTAAGAATGAAAGACAAAATCAAAGAGAAGCAAAGGAATGGCATGACTCTCCTTTCAATTGCATTGGATTTACCTCAGTGCGTTTTGAATTATTTCGCTCATTTCTCGGGTGTTTATGACCGTTTGTCTTTTCTGATTCTGCTCGGACTCCCAGGGACTGGAAAGATACACAAATGGTCAGATTTGAACTTGCCCTACTTACGATTAGACAACTCCGAGAACAAGACAAATTGTATCACGTGAAATTGAAGGCTGTTTAAACGGCTCGCTACTACCTTCCTCGAAACAAAATCCTGGCTACGTGCCTGGTAATAAAAGAAACCCGAAAACAAGACAAATTGTATCACGTGAAATTGAAGGCTGTGAAACTCTCTCCTCTATTAGCGTCACTGAGCAACCGATCAACTTAAAATTCTATTGGCCGTGATGTCAACCCAAGCGCAGAGAAAATTGTAGGCGCAGAAAATGAAGGAGTTTTTGGAATGAATTCTGATTGTAACGAGGCAATCGGTTAAGTATTGAACACGCTAATCATGTGTGCGCGCATAATGTAATAATTTAATGTAAATAGTGTTTAAAGTCTTCGAGTTTCATTCAACATTATCAAATCAAAATGGGTCACCCGTAAACATGATCTATATTGACCGGCCACGTATAAAAAGAAGAGGAGTGTCTATCAATTAACACATCGTATGCCTATCGGCATTTCAATTACACCGTAGATACGCTTCTCTCGCGTGCAGACAAAAAATTCGACAGGAACCAGATAAAGAGGCCAAGACAGATTTAAAAATAAAAAAACGAAATTAAGGTATTTAGTATCATTCTATTTACCTATCTGTTCCATATTTCACTCATTGTCAGTGTTTTACCCTATAGTTTTGCCTATTTCCTTATTTTTTTCGCTATTTTTTGACATTCCGGTATTCATGGATTGAGTGATAGAAATAATCGCTAGGTACTTGGATTGCTACAACTTCGTTGACTTCGTTGAAGAAAAATACGAGTTAATAAAGGACATCTAAGTTTCTCCCTTGTGTCAAATTGAATGCAAGTGAGTGAAAGACAAAAAATTAGACGCCAAAGAAGTTGTTTGTTTGCAATTCATTGTCCAGGATTTGATTCCCAGGTGATATATGTATCGGGGGCCTTTAAAAACGTTCAAGGGGGGAATCGGAATCAAATCAAATTAATCGCGGGAAACAAATCAAGTAACCGGCCGGGTAACCTGCAAAATTAATGACGATTGACAATGTACGTGCGTGTTCTGAGTTATTCCTCAAAGAGAGGAGGTTAAATAAAACGTCTCCATTAAACGCCTGCAATACTCGATGTAACCAAAGTGCATGACAGCGGTATCCTTATATTGACCGCATTGTATCTACCTATTTTCATATCATATTCCAAAGTAGCACAGATTACAATAAGTAGCAATTATATTGTAAAAATATTGCAATTCCACTGGGTGTTGTGTATGTTGCCTAGCTCCTATTTGAAGGGGTCCCATGAATTGAAATTTATTGCAATACAATTAATATAAGTTGCAATTTTTCATCGCATTGCACAGTGGCGTAGACAAGAGGGGAGGGGTCCAGGGGGTCTGCCCCCCCTCCCCCTTAGCCTCGATAATTGTACCTTTTTTTTACTTTTGGAGGGCAGAAACAAAATATTATCAGGGACGTATACAAAATAAAGTAAATTTACCGTCACGTTTTTGAATGGACACCCCCCCTCCCGACTTAAAGAATTTTTAGCTACGCCACTGCCTTAGGCCCCCCCCCCCCCCCTTAAGAATTCCTAGCTGCGCCACTAGCATTGCATATTGCCTATCTATCTGACACATGGAACTTATTTTGTTGATTATTTAAAATCGGCATAAATCGACTAAATGATGTAAAAATATTGCAAATTAATGGTAAAAAAATCGCATTATTATTGACATGAAATTTCAATTTAATTTCAATATTTTCGTTGCACTGTGCTACTTGGGGAGGCATCTTAAAATTACATCGTGGGCATTCGAACTCAAAGAAACGTAAATTATCAGGTGTCACTATTCACCAGCCGTTCGATAAATTTTGTTTTTCTACCGTTGAAAATGTAGCAATAAATACAAGAACTCTTTCACATACTCACACATCGTACTTTTTACAACGAATAACAGGGTATTCTTCCTTGAAGCATTTCGTATCGAGCATGTCGAAGTATAGGTGTCCAACTCCTCTGGCTGTCCTCTCCTCTTTTTCGTCGACCGATTTCAAGCACTTCAAGAAAACATCGTCACACTCGCAGTTAAGCCTGTGGGACAAAATTCAGTTGCCTCAAGTGTAAAATAATGGACCGCGTTAAGTAGAAAGGAACCAAACCACATCTGCTGTTGACAAATTTAGTTGGGCAGTTTAATTTCTTACAGGAAAGTGATCGTGCGGATTTTTATGCAAATCTCAGTGAATTTTCTGCATAGAACGAAGCAAATTCCTTAAAATTTTCACAAGAATCCGCACAGACGTTCTCTTGTAAAAAATTAAATTGTCCAGTTAAATTTGGCAATAACTGATGTGGCTTGGTTCCTTGTAAATGTGAAGAAAATATTTAACAATCATTAGTAATAGAGAAGAAGAAATAGAATAACATATATAGTAATCATTAGTAATAGAGGATCTCATGGAAATGATTTTATAAAATCATCGGCAGTATTGAAATTATAAAATTTTCAACAGTGGTTACAAGGTTACAATAATAATTATAATAAAGACAACCAAGAAATTAATTTTTGGTTGGTTTTTTTGGGTTCTTTCTACTGAATGTGGTCCAAATGATTACATGTAATGTCGTACTAAAATAATACCATGTTAGTAATAGTGAGTAAATAATTACGTGTTAGTTTGTCAACTTATATCCTGTTTGATACTAGCAATAAGATCGGTCAAAAAGTAACGCATCGTCCAAAAGAACTTTTAAATCGCTACAATGACTATGAATACAATATTTACCGTTACATCCAAAGACTCGAGGCACAAGTTGCAACACAACTGCCAAAAAAATTTATCAAGGATGTTTCTCCGAAGGGAAGTGTTTCTGGGACCTGAACACCCACGGAAAATCATCGTTCTTCAAAACGCCTGGAAATTTTGGTGCAGGCAATTCGCATGGCAATGAAAGACAAATGAAGGTCTGAGAAGCAAGGGGGCTTAGTTGGACTTCATTTTTCAATAAGGAACCAATTTTTCTGGCTCATTTGAGAAACGACGTATGTGCCATTGGTTTCCCAATGTAGATAGGTGCTTTTAAGGATGAGTCACAACTCGTGCTTGATTATTACAAAATGGAGTCCAATTGCATTGCATTGCGAAGTTTCATAGTTTCATCTGACAACTTATTTCTTCATTCGTTGACGGGTATATGTATGTAATTTTACATACTAATTTATCGGAACTTTCAGTAAAATCATAAAGCAAATTCATACAACATTGTAAAAGAACTTTAACGACAGCCCCAGAGTTAGTGAAGAAATTGTCGAATGAAACTTTACGAGTTGCAATTTGATTAAGCCCCCCTGACTTTCACCCATTCAAACAGTTGTTCCATCACATTTGAGGCTTAATAAGCTGGAATAACCGCTAATCGGTGGATAGGTGTCCATTCCGCACGCCTATCCATCACAATTATTGCACCCTTGGGACGCCATCCCGCTGATGGCGATAACAATTCGATCCCTTAGTACCATGTATGAAAAATCCAATTTATGTGCAGTGGGGTCGGACTTATGGATAGAATAACCACATACACACGTATTGGTGTTCCTCCTCTCATCAATACTGCATTGCTAAGGAATAACGCCGTATCAACCTTCAGGCGTTGTCAAATTTTCACTAACAAAACAATAATTTCCTGGTAAACCTGTGAAGATTTTTCTTTCCTTTTTTCAGATAATTTTGTTCCCGATTTTATCTACAGTTCTAGAAAATTTCGAGGAGAAATACTCATGACTTTCCTCAAAAATAAATACATATCTGCAGGAAATTTGGCGACTCTCGAATGTTTATATGGCGTTTTTCCTTAGCACGGCAGAGAACGGTCACGCACTTTATTGACTTCTCTTTATGTTACGTAACCTATCCTCTAACCTAATCTAAAAAATTAAATTAGATAAAGATTGATAATGTTACCGTTAAATTACATGACAGTTACAAAACATATATTGTGTTTTTAATAAAATAATCGGTGATTTGTATTAAAAACTGCGGTGTAAGATGGAATAACCACTTAAGACACCATTTTTCAATCGAATCATCTGTGTTTTAGGGAAAACGGAAACTCTTTCATTAACTGCACCGTATGGGTCGTTCGAAGAAAAAAACCAATGAATAAAATTCCTTAGCAGTTTTCATGTCTGATGATCACATGCTCACTTGAGATTTCCTTGAAACCTTGTTTTTAGCTTTCTTCAAGTTATTGCGGGCTTATAGGCAAAATTCAAAGTCGCTCTCTGAAGAACTTTTACCTCGATCCTTAAGTAGGTGCCCCAGTCGGGTCAAATTTTACTCTTTTTTTGGTTTCACAAAAGATAAGTGCACGTGATATCGAAACGGCTAAAAGTGCGTGATATTTTTTGGAGCCACGCTTACTTGGTGTAAAACGAATAATTGGTGAGATTGTGCTTGGATTGGCCGGACTCAATGATGTCAGGACAGTGATCGTGGTCACGACAGCAAGCATCTGTCTGCACCTCTGGGCCGAGGTCTTCGTAATGATCCGCTACAGCCCCTGGACCGCACCATTTCGTACCTGAAAAATCGCTCGCACCGTCAGAACGTCTCTGGAGGAGAAATATTTCTATCAGTCTTAAGGTGATTCGATGGACGCCATATTTTGTGTAAGAACGGCATGCGATATATCGCATCATTGGTTCCATTTTCTCAGCTACCCGTCATTTTTCTCCAATATTGAGATCGCAATTCTGTTGTCAGAAGACCAAAGCACTCACTTACCAATTTTAACAAAGAAATTCAACGTACTAAAGGCGTGGTTTTTTCAGAGAGAAAACATCGCATTCGATACTGATATCGGAACTGCACTCGAATGCGATATTTGCTCTCTAAAAAAACCACGCCTTTATTACGTTGAATTTATTTGTTAAAATTGGTAAGTGAGTGCTTTAGTCTCCTGACAACAGAACTGCGATCTCAAAATTGGAGAAAAATGACGAGTAGCTAAGAAAATGGAACCAATGGATGCGATATATCGCAAGTCTTTCTGACACAAAATATGGCGTCCATCGAATCACCTTAAGATTAATTGCACTATCAATTGGACGTATTTCTGCCAAACGGAACTAAACGCCAATTTGAGTTCCTTTGGAGGAATTTAGAATGCCGGATAGCGCGTTCTGTCAAACGGAACTAAGCGCCATGGAAAATCATCGAGAGTATGGAACGAATGAGCCCAACGCCCGGTTCCACCGCCAATCTAAGCCCCCCTCTACCTTCCTCCCCCGATGGCGCTTAGTTCCATTTGACAGAAATACGTCCAATTAAGCTCTTGCATGTGTGGGGGAATCCCGATTGAAGTGCATTTCCATGCGTAAAATTTCGCGAGAACCACGATGGTGCCACCGGTTTTTTCTGAAACGAACTCCAAAACTCAAAGAAAGCTCGCAAAGTTGAGCCCGTAATGGGGAGGGTATCGTATTCCACGCTATCCCGAGAGTCCATCTCTTTACCTAACCCCCATGCAAAGATGCAAACTTGGTTCCCACTGTTGTATTTGGAAGCTCTTTCAACTTGGTTCCCACTTCGTTTTAGGACTCTAAAACTGAAAACACGGCAACTCTGCTAATGTACTGGCTCCCTATCTTTGCATGGAGAGTTTAACTAGCAATAGAGATGGATTCTCACGATAGCGTGGAATATCCTTTCTATAATGGCTTTAACTTTGAGATCTTTTTTTAAGTTTTGGAGTTCGTTTCAGAGAAAACTAGTCGCACCATCGTGTTTCTCGCGAAATTTTACGCAAGAAAATGTACTCAATTACTGAGACAGTAAAATCCATTTCGCTTTAATTAAGAGTTTCTGGGAATTTGAGAAAAACCCATCATCAAATCTGAAAATACCTGGATATATTACATCGTAGAAATGTCGCTTCCGCCCCGATTCAGCAATCACTTGAGCAATAAACAGAGCCAGTTCAAAATAGACGAAAATATTTATCCCTGATGGCATCTTAAATCAATTACTTTCAAGTCGTGTATTTTGGTGTGGTGTCCCGAGCAGTCTGCATCGACCTGCACAGAAGAAGATTATGTTCATCCGTGAATTTATAAGTGAGTTCATGTTTCCACTCTCCTAGGACAAACCACTAAAAGCATACTATGGCGTGGTGTGCTTTGCAATATATAGATTGATCTGCCATTTAAACCCATGGAAAAGGGTCGATACCACGTGCACAGATCTCATTGTTTACCGATTGTAACGAATTATAATACTGTATACTATAGAATATTTGCACAGGGTTCTCTCTCTCCGTCAAGCTGACATAAGTATGCCTGATGTATGTGCTGAGAGTAATTCATGGTCATAAGAAAAAACTTAAGTCAAACGCATACTGAGCAACCAGTTAAGCTAATCAAACAGTTCTGCTGTTGCACGTTGTTTACACGATGTGAACTACACACACAGGACGCGACTATTGAGGCGGGCATACTACGCGCAATGCGTGAAGTATCCACTTAGTGTTGCAGGCACTGACAGCGCGCGCGGTGGAGTACTCGCAATGCGTGAAGTATTCAAGCAGGCTTGCAGGCGCTTACGTAAGTTACGCGCCGAATGCAGTGTTTAGCACGATCATTTAAACTCGCGCAGCGTTTTTTAACTTGTTATCTTGAAGTTTTTTACACACGTACACTCTGTATGGACCATTTGTAATTTACTCTGATAAAAAATTAAAGCACTACAAAAAATCCAACTAATTGTTTTCTCTTTATTTTCATATCGATGGCAAAAGCCACGGATCTCCGTGTATGACATTGCAGAGTTCCTGCCTGATGATTTTCATTTTTTCTTATGAAAAGGTAATCAATGTCTTTAGACATCGATATTCACTTCCTGGACCTGAGTGCAACCTCAAATGAGGGGCTTGGAGGACGAGGCGCACAAGTGCAGTTTCTGCTATTTTGAGAATTACGCGTTTGAGGGCTCGAAATCACATGGATCTTTATGGTGAAAAGAAAGTTCAAACTGACTTTTTGATGCTTAAAAATTGGAATTTGGGAGCGAATTTTTCACAGAATATGCATCAAGACCAGTTTTACTTGAAATCATTAATACTTCAATTTTTTTAAAAACTGCACTTATGCGCCTTGACCTTCAAGCCCCTCAAGTGTGCTCACATTATTTACCCAATTAATGAATTGAGCAATTATTAAAACTGAATTTTCTTTCAAAGCAATGAGACTCGGACTTTCCGCTAGTCTGGACGATATTGAAACGGTTATGTAGCTTCTTTAATCTCAGAAATATTCAGCTTGGCGCATAAAACATCCAACCAACCGCACACCTTGGGCTCGAGATCTTCTCCAGACCAAAACTTGGCAATATGCGCTAACCATGTGATTACATTTTAAGTGCCAGGATAGGTACATGTATAATTATAATCAATTGTGCTAATTGAATACCCCACGGTTCAGGAATGACGCAATATGTCTCCGGTTCCTCCCACGAAGAAGATCTCAATTTTGTCTCAATTCTTTATTCATTATTTCTTTCTTTCTTCTTTTTTTTAAAATTGTTCGTTAAATTATTATTATTCTTTACATGTGCTCTTTATTCAAGCCTTATGTTTCTTCACAACAGGAGGAAATTACAGGTATTCAAAAGTGTCATTCTGTGCAATGAGCCAGTGTTGAGACTTCAAGCTGTATAACGACGGTGAAATTACCAGACCGCGTATATCGGTTTACGACGTTGCAGACTTCTTGTCATACTTCATTTTTCAAAGGGAAAACTACTCAACGTCAATTCTTGAAAACTTCCGTGTTTTTTCACCTCTGCGCGAAGAAAACTCTGTGAAAATGTCATGAAATTATATTGATTTGTTCTCCTTCAGAAAAAATAAAATGGGCGTGGAGATTTTTAAACACCACAAACTAGATATGTGGTCTGGTAGCATCGCCGTCGATATGCATTCAGCCGTAAATGAAAGCACTCGAAAGTTGAAGAGTTTTCGGTGGAAAACGAACGAAAGACCTTTATCACTGCTGTTATCTTGCTTATGGATTTTAATCGATTTTTCTTAGAATTCCCACAGGAAAGTGGTGAACTTTACACCTCCCGCGTGCGAACTATACTTTCATTTTTTATTTTATTTCTAACCCATCAGTCTGGGTCTATCCACAAATTCAGCGATTATGTCACTCGCAAAATACATTACATATCGTGCGAGTAGCTCACACGTGAATTCTGCCGTGCTACGGAACAACGCCGTATGAGCCTTCAGGCGTTGCCAAATTCCCTCGAAAAACAACAAATTTTCAGGAAACTTTGTGCATATTTCTCCTCCAATTTTTCGGAGGATTTTGTTCGAAATTTGATCTCAAGAGTCTGAAAATTTCAAGAAAAAATATTCATTAGTTTCTTCAAAAATGTATATTTTCTGAGAGGAAATTTGGAAACGCCTGAAGGTTCATACGGCGTTTTGCTTTAGCACGGTAGTTCTTGGATCTGCGGCAACTGCTGCGTCCGAACTTACTCCCTATCCACCAGTGGCGTGACGTGAATTGCGATGTATCGATTGTTATGCCATTTAAAACTATGGTACCTAAAGGATCGATTATTAAGGTGTTCGCTGCGAACACCCTGTTAATCGATCCTTTTCCATAAGTTCAAATGACAGATCAATCGATATATCTCAAAGCACGCCACGCCACTGCTATCCACCACAATTTATTTCGGTGTTGCACTCGGACTAAGCGAAAATCAGTAACTACTACGTCATGGTATACAAACAACACTAGGTGGATTTTTATCGCATTTTGCAGGGTGGGAGAATAATATGCCAATGATTGCCAGACCTCATCATTATTTCTCTGTTTTATACACTTGAGTAGTGGCTTCGAACCCCCCTTCCCCCACTCTGAGGTAAAGAAAATAAAGAATCGAGCTCTAATCTGGAGGAGATATCAGAGTTTGACGAGCATCTCTCTCGTGGCGATCATTGTTGAAATCTCGTGATGTGGCGCCCGTTCCTTAAAGACGTTTTTTATTTTTTTAATGTTCCCCCTCCCTTCGAAGGTGAATCCGAACTGATTCTGAGTCTGCTGTTTATCTATGACCTATTCTGATTGCAACCACCCTCGTTTTGTGGACTGGTTATCCATAGGCAAGACACCTGCGTATTGCGGTTCCGCGGAGGGAAACAAGCTTAAATTGTGAGTCTTAGATTATTTTTTTTTTTTCTTTCTTTTTTTCATATCTGTGAGCACCTGACCGTATAGCTCTGTTCTCGCAGTGAGGTTCAAGTGTTGTGCTTTCAGATTACGGTCCTTAACCACGCCGTGTATTGACCTGACGAGATGGTTCAACGACTGGGATATTTGTACCCTTTATTTTGATGCATTTATGGTCGCAAATTGAAAAAATCATCTGTTTGCTAAACTTACCTTAAAAAAAATTATTTTAGTTTATTTAAGAAAATACACGATTTTTTTTCTTTTCTACTTCTTTAGCTGACGTATGAAAATAAAAAATGAATCAGTTTCGCTAATTGTGAAAAAATAATATTCTTAAATAATGATCAAGTCCTTTAGATCGGTGCAAAAATATTATGATATGTAAGTTTGAACATTGTCGACTATTGACGGAGATATTGTCCTTTGAAAACCGAAGAGGATGACGAAATTGAGAATAGTAGTGTAAGCTATAATTCGACCCTTTACATAGGTTTCATCAGGTATGTGTACCGGAACAACCAACTTTGAAGGTGTGCATTAACTTGGTCAGTCTTTTAATTCAAAGTTTATAGCGCACTCTGTGAGATATTAAAATTGTGACATTTTCCTCCCCCCCCCCCCC